GCTGGGGATCTATTCTAACCCAGTTACTGCGGCCAACATTGCTTCACTTTGACTGACTTGTGATCTGTGCACAGGACTATGTGCCACAACATAGAATATAAGCAGGTTTCCTATGAGTCTCCACATGCTCAAGTTTTTTGTTTGTTTGCTTAACGCCGCACTCAGCAATATTCCAGCTATATGACGGCGGTCTGTAAAGCGAACGCTTTAAATAACCACTAGTTGCTTCTTTGTTGTTTAACGCAGCATTCAACAAAAGTATCGCTATCTGACTGCGGTCTGTAAATAATCGAGTCTGGACCAGACAATCCAGTGATTGACATCATGAGCATCAATCCACGCAATTGGGATACGATGACATGAATCAACCAAGTTAGCGAGCCTGACCACCCAATCCTGTTAATCGCCTCTTACGACAAGCATAGTCGCCTTTAACGGCAAGCATGGGTTGCTGAAGACCTATTCTACCCCAGATCTTCACTGGTCACATGCTCAAGTACTCATGGGGATTCTGGAAAAGAATAACATATAGGTCTCTAGCTACCTATGCTTGTCTGTCGTAGGAAGTGACTGAATGTACTGGGTGGTCAGGCTCAGTGAATTGGTGGATTGCATGTCATCTTTTCCCAGCTGCATAGATCAGTGCTTAGAATGGCAATCACCAGATAGTCTGGTCCATACTCAAATATTAACAGACCACTGTCATATAGGTTGAATATTGCTGAATGTGGTGTTAAACAATAAGAAACACACTAAAGTACTCATGAAATGCTAAGCTTAAAATTTAGTAGAACCTGGGTTTCCTGAGGTTTCTTGCTATTATTGTTTTTATATTCATATTGACATTCCTCAAGTTGCAACACAATGATCAGATTCATCATCTATACATGCTGAAAAACTTTTCCAAAACTCTTAATCATATTGATAAGATTATTCCTTAAGAAAGGCCTTGAAAATGATGGCATACTCTGGCATTTGATATTTAACAAAGGTAGTCACAACATAAGCTGTTTACCCAGTATCATCTTTCTGCTATTTGTGGGTTTGTTCAAAACATGTTAACAAATGAGAACTGTTCAGCCATGACACCTGGCTGTAAACTGATTAAACTCTGATGCATGTCAAGGATTTCTCCTGTCATAAACTGTCGAAAAGACAGCAACACAACAGAAGCACTCAACCATGGAAACAAGTTATGTTATGTTCCAACCTTGACAATAACTTACCTGTAATACCATGCTTACACCATGTGCACAATACATAAGAAATAAAAGTAACAGTGATATTAAAATTTACATTTATTATTTAACATTGATAAAGCAGAACATATTTTAACATTTGTCTGACAATGGATTGGAACGTCTCAACCTGTGTAAGAATCAGCTGCTAGATAAAAACTGATAAACAGAGTAACAAATCTGATGAAAACAACACCCACCTGTACTATGTAACAAAAACAGTCATGGGTAACTTAACCAAGCAGTATTAACCTTATCAGGTCACGAGTTCAAAGTTGGATTGAAATATACAGCAAAATCAGATCCAAAACAAATAGCTAATGAACAACATACATGGCATGGTTAAGATGTTGGTGTAGACAATGTCAATAAACTGTCTGAAAGACTTCTGCAACCATGGTAATCCTTTAAAAGACACAAACCCCCCAGGCCAATTTGAACTTGACAATGTAAAAACTTTCAAATATATCAGATATTCAGTCTGCAACTTTAGCCACTACTGTGAAGCCAGAGTCTAGTGAAATGCTGTTCAGTGTTGTAAGCTCTGACAGCTAGCAATAGTAGAATAATAACATCAAAATCTACAGAAAATGACACTCATAGCAGGCGAGTAGACTCAAATGGTTCTGGCTCAGAATGGATATTTCAATAGTAATGCTGGCCGCTGTCATTGAGTATGCTTGATATATCTGGCAAGTTTCAAGAAGACAGAAAATGCCAAAAAATAAAAAGTATCAGGATTCTGTTAGGTTTCCATGACAATGACCAGAAGATAGTAATGATGGTTTAACATGATGAAGCATATAAAACAAGGTTCTTATTTTGATAACTATTTACATATTTCTATCGTATTTCATATTCTAGTTCCAAAACTGAAGATGAACGTCTTATAATGGTTGCCTACAAAAAAGCTCAAGACACTAACAGTAGTTAATAAAAATATAGTTAACACACTTAACAATGAGAACAAGAAGCCTAAACAAGTGTCAACATAAATGACTTGTGTGATGCATCTCACAGACAGGCAAAAATGTTATACATGTAGTTGCAAATGCATGATAAGATACAACTTAGAGCTAAGGTCTACGTTGTCTAGAAATAAGATTATCATTTTAATAAGACAACTGACTTACTGGAACAGTTTCTCTGAACATGCTGAAGTCAATTTTGACCTATTGTAAGACATATCTAGAGATAGATTCACTTTTTTATAAAGTTATTGGCTTCCAAGAAGAGTAACATTAGTTTAAATGAAGACAATCCTACAACTATAAATGAAGTATATCCTAGATTCTCAAAAAAAGAAATATGTATAGAAACTTATCACATTTCTTTTTCATTGGTGTTACCATGGTGATTAATAGTCACAACTGCCTTGTATGAGCAAGGAGTAATGCATTCTGTATAAACTGATAAACATGATAAAATGAGTTCTCGCAAAAGAAATCATTAACTTGCAAATCTTTTAAACATCAATCATGATCAGTTGTGTGATTTTGCAGTTAGAATGACAATATGTACAGTATTTCCGAAATAAACATCAATCCCAAATTCCCATCAATGAAGAGAAGGAAGAACCAATACCGACTCAAGCAAAGGAAGTCAAAGAAGACCCGCTTCTTTCATATCACTGAAGTTAAATTGTCATGATATTTTGCAATTATTAAACAGTTTAATTCTAATAAAATAGCTAATTCAAAGTATCATAAGTAATCCGTAATCTACTTAACATGCTTAAAGCCAACCATGTTTCATAGTTTTTGAGATTTTCATGTAGTACAGGTAATAATACTATTATCAATTATCGAAGTTCCCTTGTAATGTAAGTCATTGCTTGAGGTTGGCAATAAAACATAGAAAACCTTAACATGCTTAAAGAGTGAAAGAGTACATATATAAGGTTAGTCGTGCACCATGACTGTTGAATATATCTATTTTATGGAAAAAAAACATTCTAGATATGTATACAAAAGCAAATCTAGCCTGCTCTAGACAGCTCTATTCCCCCAAAAATCAGCATCGGGAAAATTATTTGTTTAATTTTAGAGTCGAGAAGGATTTTGTGTGATACAAGATTTCATAGACTAACTGTTAGTCTAATATAAGATAAATTTTGAAAACTTGTTTTGATTGAGGAAAACACCTCGCAATTCCCTAATTTGAGTGTGTGAGTTGGTTTTAACACCGCCTCGAACAGTATTCCAGTTATATCACGGCATGCCAGCTTAATGTGGGAGGAAAGCCCAAAGTGATGCAGGTCTCAGACATTTACCAATTCGGTAACCCATGAGCACAGGTATGGTGCTGACAAAAGTTGAAACATAATTGGAATGAACTTGGATTCGAATCCACAATCATAGGTTTCTTGCAAGCCAAAGGGACGCAACTCTGCACATCGACTTGCAGCGCCTTAGTAGACTGAGCCACCCGCTTGGAGTACAAGCGAACAGAAGCTATGGATAGTATGGCTCCATCTCAAACACTGTCAAAACTTCACAGTTCATTCAGCATATATCACTTGCCTGAGTCAGACAGGGAAACCATTTGTGATTTTGTTTTCATAGTTCTGTGTCTGTCTGTTATCAAACAACCACACTGTACATTCTGTGGAGGGAAGGTACAGCACAACAAAGCAACATGGTTGTATAAATATCTCTGGAAATTGATGTAACATACAGACATTATATCATGATAAACTTCCAGCTCTTAACAAATACAATAACAACTTGTCAACACCTGAACATTTCAGTTATGTTGAAAACAAAAATTCAAAACATTTTAAACTGAACATGCTGAACTGGCACATTTTGACTATTTACAATCATGATGATGACAAGAGACTATGGTAAAGTTCAAGGATACTCCGTAGTGTATATTAAAATTTAAATTTGCCATGTGAACCTTGATGATAGGCACTGTTATCAACATGATCAAATAGATCCCTATCATTTTTTCTATAAAAATGTTTGGATAAATACCCCATTCTTACCTTGTCCTAAAACTACAGGTGGAATAGGTATGTGGGGAAATAATCATTTTAAAAGATGACCTCAACCATGTCAAAAGGGCAACTTTGCATACCATACGCCATGTTATGAATACATAAACACATTAATCAATGACTAAGTGAGTTGTAGGTGAATGTATAGAAATATGCCAGGTATTAGTATGTACTTATATCCTGTTACATCTAACTCACAACATGAAGGGCAGTGCCATAGTCATCATGATCAAGGTCAATGTATTGGGCTTGGTCTCTGTTGTCGACAAAATCCTTGACTAGGATACCTAAACGTTTATCCCTTTCCTCAGTATCTTCACAAGACAAAGGTAACATCTCCATTTCTACACAATATTGTTGTGTAAAATATTGTTGGTTTTTTTTAAGTTATGTTTGGGCGAATTATTGTGTGCGTAAGCATTCAAATAACAAGTCCCAGTCTCCAGCGCCCTTGACCCCTGGAGGTCAAGCACATGTCGTTGCTGCGATGTACTTTCAGTGGGGATTGTTATTTACATATTCATTGTCCATGGTTCACATCCGCTCCGGTGAAGTAGCATTCAGATAATAAAGTAGACACATTAAAAAATATCATACACATTGAAAAACAGTGTAAATGTCGACTTTTTCAAGACACAAATAGGAAAACGTGTAGGCTACATTATAGATGCAACACTGCCAACAGTCAACAACAATTAGGATGACAGCTGATTGATCGCATTGATGATGATTGATATGTGAACGAAATGCAAAATTTATACCTGAGGCCTTGATTGGTAAGTCCCAATGTTGCCTGCAAACATTTCTCCATCGTCCGAGATCGCCGAGTCTCCAAGTCGCCCAGCAGTGAGTGTTGGAGCTGTGTCGTCTCCAGATGCATGGCGATTTTTCGCTGAACTGCTGTTCCCCATCGCTGTAATATGTCAATGCGTCTGAAGGTGTGATCAGTCTGAATATAATCAAACCTTGTCCAGACCCAGTTTAATTGTATGGGTCGGTAAATATAGTCCCGATTCCTGAGCTCGACTTGAGGTCTGACGTTGTAAACAAGCCGACTTAGGCAGCTGAACACTTTGTGGTCTAGCCTTATTATATTGGCTAAGGTCTCTTAGAAATTAATTATTTTCGGTTCATGTAGTATTCCAATCTCTTCTCTTTCGCATGACGAGAAAATTCTAAAAATGCTTATTCGAGAGCTATACACACAGAAAAACAACGAGGCGATCTGACATCGTAAACAAATATGGAGGCTCATGTGCTCGTACAGACGCAATGCATCCTGGGTACACAGATTGTCGCACATGCTCATTACATTGATTTGCAGGTGCGCGCTGTGATAACTTGTTTGGGCTGTTTTGCAGAAAACTAACTTAAAATTCAATGTTTGTTCTTTGTCATATGCTTATTCAGAAATATACAACGATCTCTACATTAAATTATGATTAAATGTGATGTCATTGTCATAAAACGTTCAATTATCTACAACTACGAGTGGAGCCAATCCGTTATAAAGAAAACAGTTGAAAGGATCTGAAAGTTCATGAATTAAAAGCTTATGAAGTCTTCCATTATAATTGTTTGGATTTTTCTAATATATATTTCAATAGATAACTTTGAGCTCCAAATGATGTACATACATAAAAGTAAAGAACATTCCCAAGGGTCTAGGCTGGGACAAATGGTAGGCACGCATTGCAAGCTTGATCAAGCCTTTCAATACCACTTTGTTTATGTGCCAATTTTCTTTGTTTATGTGCCAATTTTATAATGAACACTATCTCAGTTTTACAAAGGACATTATTTAGTATATAGTCAAACCTGGACAAAGTCTCCTGGAAATGAAATTATCGTAAATTCTTACTTTCTGTGATTTAGTAATTTCAACACTACCGTTATTCGAAACAAATGTCAAGGTAAGATTTCATTGTAATATAGTTTCATCAATAACTCCTGACATTAAGAGTTCTTGGTTCTTGTTTAAAAAATAAAACTCGATTTTGTTCTTTTTATTTCGAAAAAAATCTTTATTTCTGTATAAATTACCACCAAAGACAATAAATCGATCATAATTGTGCATCTTTGGATCTTTTAATTTACCGCGATTTGATATTTCACGTTTAGAATTAGCTGTCATACGTTATTTCGCAAGAGTCCTGTCATAGTGAATTGCAAATGAATTCTGTGAAATGTAATTTCTCGTGAATCGATATTATTCGTTTCGTTGGTTTTTTTTATACAAAACCGGTAATACTGTACATGTAGACAATGTGGAGAACAGTTGCCTAACAATATCGAGCAACGCCCGAGATGGTCCGAGATAGTCTGACAAGTTGTTACGAAGTTTAAATGTTACAGTAATATGATACGCAGTCCTTGTTTATTATGTAAAACATAAACTGGACAATGATGTGTTTTAAAACACTATCAGATTGATAAGTAAGAATAGATCTCTATTAAATAAAAATGAACCAATTTACACGATAATTATCCGTGATAGTGAAATGGGTTTAAAAAATGCCTGTGACCTGTGAAAGGGTGGCCTGAATTGCCCGTGATCTGTGAAAGGGTGATCTGAATTGCCTGTGATCTGTGAAAGGGTGGCCTGAATTGCCTGTGATCTGTGAAAGGGTGATCTGAATTACCTGTGATCTGTGAAAGGGTGGTCTGAATTGCCGTGATCTGTGAAAGGGTGGTCTGAATTGCTGTGATCTGTTAAAGGGTGGCCTGAATTGCCTGTGATCTGTGAAAGGGTGGCCTGAATTGCCTGTGATCTGTGAAAGGGTGATCTGAATTGCCTGTGATCTGTGAAAGGGTGGTCTGAATTGCCTGTGATCTGTGAAAGGATGGTCTGAATTGCCGTGATCTGTGAAAGGGTGTTTTGAATTGCCTGTGATCTGTGAAAGGGTGGCCTGAATTGCCTGTGATCTGTGAAAGGGTGGCCTGAATTGCCTGTGATCTGTGAAAGGGTGATCTGAATTACCTGTGATCTGTGAAAGGGTGGTCTGAATTGCCTGTGATCTGTGAAAGGGTGGTCTGAATTGCTGTGATCTGTGAAAGGGTGGCCTGAATTGCCTGTGATCTGTGAAAGGGTGGCCTGAATTGCCTGTGATCTGTGAAAGAATGGTCTGAATTGCCAGTGATCTGTGAAAGGGTGGCCTGAATTGCCCGTGATCTGTGAAAGGGTGATCTGAATTGCCTGTGATCTGTGAAAGGGTGGTCTGAATTGCCTGTGATCTGTGAAAGGATGGTCTGAATTGCCGTGATCTGTGAAAGGGTGGTCTGAATTGCCTGTGATCTGTGAAAGGGTTGTCTGAATTGCCGTGATCTGTGAAAGGGTGATCTGAATTGCTGTGATCTGTAAAAGGGTGGTCTGAATTGCCTGTGATCTGTGAAAGGGTGGCCTGAATTGCCTGTGATCTGTGAAAGGGTGATCTGAATTGCCTGTGATCTGTGAAAGGGTGGTCTGAATTGCCTGTGATCTGTGAAAGGATGGTCTGAATTGCCGTGATCTGTGAAAGGGTGTTTTGAATTGCCTGTGATCTGTGAAAGGATGGTCTGAATTGCCGTGATCTGTGAAAGGGTGGCCTGAATTGCCGGGGATCTGTGAAAGGGTGGCCTGAATTGCCTGTGATCTGTGAAAGGGTGGCCTGAATTGCCTGTGATCTGTGAAAGGGTGATCTGAATTACCTGTGATCTGTGAAAGGGTGGTCTGAATTGCCTGTGATCTGTGAAAGGGTGGTCTGAATTGCTGTGATCTGTGAAAGGGTGGCCTGAATTGCCTGTGATCTGTGAAAGGGTGGCCTGAATTGCCTGTGATCTGTGAAAGAATGGTCTGAATTGCCAGTGATCTGTGAAAGGGTGGCCTGAATTGCCCGTGATCTGTGAAAGGGTGATCTGAATTGCCTGTGATCTGTGAAAGGGTGGTCTGAATTGCCTGTGATCTGTGAAAGGATGGTCTGAATTGCCGTGATCTGTGAAAGGGTGGTCTGAATTGCCTGTAATCTGTGAAAGGGTTGTCTGAATTGCCGTGATCTGTGAAAGGGTGGTCTGAATTGCTGTGATCTGTAAAAGGGTGGTCTGAATTGCCGTGATCTGTGAAAGGGTGGCCTGAATTGCCGGTGATCTGTGAAAGGGTGGTCTGAATTGCCTGTGATGTGTGAAAGGGTTGTCTGAATTGCCGTGATCTGTGAAAGGGTGGTCTGAATTGCCAGGGATCTGTGAAAGGGTGGCCTGGATTGCCTGTGATCTGTGAAAGGGTGGTCTGAATTGCCTAAGATCTTTGTAAGGGTGGTCTGTTCTGCCTGTGATCTGTGAAAGGGTGGCCTGAATTGCCAGTGATCTGTGAAAGGGTGGTCTGAATTGCCTGTGATCTGTGAAAGGGTGGTCTGAATTGCCTGTGATCTGTGAAAGGGTGGTCTGAATTGCCTGTGATCTGTGAAAGGATGGTCTGAATTGCCGTGATCTGTGAAAGGGTTATCTGAATTGCCTGTGATCTGTGAAAGGGAGGTCTGAATTGCCGTGATCTGTGAAAGGGTGGTCTGAATTGCCGTGATCTGTTAAAGGGTGGTCTGAATTGCCGTGATCTGTGAAAGGGTGGTCTGAATTGCCTGTGATCTGTGAAAGGGTGATCTGAATTGCCTGTGATCTGTGAAAGGATGGTCTGAATTGCCTGTGATCTGTGAAAGGGTGGTCTGAATTGCCTGTGATCTGTGAAAAAGGTGGCCTGAATTGCCTGTGATCCGAGGAAGGATGGTCTAAATTGCCTGTGAACAGTTATTGGGCAGAAGCATCCATTCCCCATCCTCTAAGATGACATCCTTGAAGATCAGGATTACATTTTTTGTGTCTTTTGCAACCCAAGCTTGTAAGAGGCGACTAACGGGATTGGGTGGTCAGGCTCGCTGACTTGGTTGACGCATGTCATCGTATCCCAATATAGTGGATCGATGCTCATGGTGTCAATCACTGAATTGCCTGGCCTAGACTTGATTATATACAGACTGCCGTAATATTGCTGAGTACGGCGTTAAACAACAAACGAACAAACGAAGTCGGTGGTTCAATACACAGCCGCTTCATACCAGATGGTAAAGATGGTATTTCTTGTTACCCTGCTTCGTCATTTAGGAGAGAGAAAAAACACATAACGAGGACTGGTCGGCTCGGCACGGAGTGTGGAATCCATGTGTTAAACTGCAGTTGGTATCTTCAGTGGGCGAGCTCTGTAAAGCGGCATTGCGGCATTAGTACTATCACACACACACACACACACGCACGCACGCACGCACGCACGCACACACACACACACACACACATGCACGTAGCTGTGTGACTGCAATAATCTTGAACGTGATATTAAACCCAATTTCACCTCACGTACTCACACCTTGAAAAACCCGGAAGTAATTGTGGGAAAGAGTTAGCTGTATTTAGCCCACACCAGTTGGTCTAGACAGTAACTGTACATGGGGCCACCATAGACGCCCAAGGGAAACAAACAACGTCCATAGTCATAACATATATAGAGGATACTGTCAAACAGTGTGTTTATTTAATCGAGTGACACGACAAGTTTATAGTTTTGGGCCACGAGAGCAGTTAAACATGCTGTTTCGTAAGAAAAGCAACCTGTTCTATTTATTATTTATTTACTTCCTGATTTTTGTCACCAGTGTCATCTAGGCAGACTGAACCATATTGTTTCACTCGTATGAAATTTCAATTACATATTTGCAGATTATTATAGTGAGTGAGTATTGGTTTACGCCGCTTTTAGCAATAATACAGCAATGCCATGGCGGGGGACACCAGGAATGTATGTTTGCCGAGAGGGGACATCGCTTTCTCGCTTTCTCGCTCTATCGCTTTATCGCTTTCTCGCGGTTAAGCAATATCCCCTCTCGACCCCTACAGGGGCCGCATGTGATATCTGCTGCAATTGGGAGGTAATGTTGAACTTTTCTCACTATTTACTTAAAACATAATTTAACTGTACAGACGTAGGTGATTTTAAAACAATCCACCGATTTTTGCGTAAAATGTAATTGATTGATTTATGGCCCTCTTCAGTTGTATGTGACCATCACGCCGAAAGCGTGTCGCAGATCATGGCAATACGCTCTAAATAAATCAGGTTAAAATCTAAATATATACTTTTCAAAAGAAGTTAAGAAGACTATGGTTAATTAGTCATGGCTGATTGTTTTGCAAAAATACAATCTTATAATTGTGGGTGTTCTATAACTTGTTTTCGGTAGTATATGATGTTACAGTGTGTCA